AGTTTTTGTATTGAAAACTTTTTTATTTAACGAGATTTCTTTACGAAATTTGGCATTAATTATTGTCTAAAGCCACGCTACAATCTTCGAATAAATTTTTTAGATCGGACTACTATAGCATATAGCTGCCATCCAAACTGATCGATCAAATTCGAGTCTTTGTATGGAAAAGTTTTTATTTAAAGATATAACTTCAGGAAATTGGCATGGATTATTATTATTCAAGGCAACCGTACAATCTCTGAACAAAATTATTCAGCTCGGACCACTATAGCTGCCATACAAACTGATTGTTTAAAATCTAGTTCTTATATGAAAACTTCTTCATTTGTTATGGGTATTATAGCTTCGGTGCTTTCCGATGTTGAGGTTTTTTCTTGTTTAATTCTTCTTTATCATTATTTAATATTTAAATAATATTTTCAGAGGCTTTCATCGTTTCCAAATCGGACTCTGAGCTCTTCGAGGTATATGCTATACTTTCGGAGAATTTATATCATGTCTCCAGCGCGCTCACAACCATGGAGATTAATATGAAAAGCTATTCGGGCAGTTCGGTAGCAGCAGCTGCTGCCATTGCGGCAGCAAGAGCGGAGAATAGTGATGCAGTAACAAATCTTTAAAAAACCCATTTAGTATTAATACTTTTACCGAGTACATCATCAAGCGAAATTAATTAAAGAAATAAAAAAATATTAATTAAAAAATAATTTTAATAAAAACAAAAAAAAGTAATATATAGCGCATACACATACATAGCAGCGGTAAGAAAAACCAACAACTGTTGAGCAAGTAACCGTGACACCGTTGTTGAATACAGCAATCAGGCGCAGTTTTAGCAATAAAAAGCAAAGTGCACAAGCGAAAATAACTGGTTAATTTTAGTTTAATATTTTAGTAAGTAAAATATATATGCGGATATATTTTTTGTTAGAAAAAGAGAAATTATTTACTATATGTACTGCTTATTTATTTTTCATGCATGTAAATGCGAATATTTTCGAAATTCGATTTAACTTTGTGCGCTGAGTATTGAAATTTTGTAAACGATTTAATTATATAGTTAATGATTTTGACTCAAAAAAGTTTTAGTTAAAAGAATTGCATAAATTGTAATGGTTTTATTTATTCAATTGCTGTTTTTTTTTTTAAATCTATTATAATAAAATTATTGTGGTAAAGCAAATATTAGTTAATTTCTTCATTCAACAGGTAATTGCTGGTGGAATCTGTTTTGAGGTTAGTCATTATCCTGGTTTGCTGCATATGTGAGCATAACAATATTTTTAAATGCGTTTGTTTTGAGTTCATCAAAAAACAGTTTTATATCAAATAACAACCGTAACTATTTTGGAATTCTATAGCAACAACAACAAATTGAATATGCGAAATTTTGTTTCAAGTAAAACCGTCGATTAATTAAATCTCAACAACCAACTAACAATAAGTGAAATTAGAAACTCAAAATGTATTGCCATAAAAGCAGAATTCTTGAAAATCTAATTTTCATAAAATGAGATTTTGAAACACCCATAGCAAGTTAATTAAGTATAAGAGCAAAACCGGCAATTAACAGGTAAGAACCATTCGTTTCTTTGAGATTATTTAGTAGTGCATTCATTTAGACCTGACTTGTCCAACTGTGACCCGTACGATGCCTGCTTTGTTGTTGTTGTTAAGATGGCAGGCAACATTCTTAGAATAATGTTGAGATATTCTGCCCGGGTTGACTTGATCCTTGGCCGTATATGAATTCCATCATGCCACCTTCTTGTCGCCATCTAGTTCATAGTGTCGTATAATGAAGATAACGATCGTTTTCTCTAAAAAATAAAATACTTAACCTGAAGTGCCAAGGATGTATTTTCGTTCAAGGTGTGTCATCCAAAAACCTCTTTGAATAATTTTTAGTACTAAATGGGGTTTCATTTTGGACTTTAAACCCGAGATAAAAGCAGCGACGGTACCAAGTCACGTAAACCGATCAGACAGGTTTATAAAACCGGAACGCTATGTACTTTAACTTAACTTCGCCTGGACGCACTTAAGGGGTTATATTCACGAGCAAGTCGAAAACGCGTTCTTAGAATTAAACTAATTATAATAATCGGCGATTGGAGGGCACACGAAAACACAGGTATCTGGGGGTGAGGAAAATTTTGTATTGCAAAAACCAAAGATTAAAATTATTACAAGTAATGCTCGAAGAAATAGTTAAAACTTTGATTTTTGATAAAATAATGTCCTCACCCAAAAAATGTTTTTTTGTTTAATTTGCAGAGTGGGATTAAATATATAAATTACTATCAGAAATCCCATTCCTTTGACATTACGTGAAAAATATATCTAATTAAGTCGTGTGAAAATTTCAAGTCTGTCGATGCACCCATTCCGCATAATATTTCCACACCAATTCGGAAAACAGCATTTAGTTTTGGGTTAGATTAAAAAGTTCTTACAAATACGCTCTCTGGAACTATATGCCGGATCAAGTTCAAATTTTCGAAGTATATTTTCACATATGTAAATATTTTTTGGAATCCACAAATGTATATAACCTCTAAACAAAATTTCCATTAAAATTCTTACAACTGTATTAATGTCTCTGTATAGCCTCATTTTGTTTATTGCAAAACAATTTGTTGGTTTAACATTTTTAATGGGATTTAAAAGGGCAAATATAAAACAGCCTTGCATGTACTAAATATAGGTATGTACTAATTAATTATATGTGTGAATGTATGTTTGTATGTATATGTCTATCTCTAATCTATATATTATAAATGTACTCCTTTTCAACAGAACAATTTACAAATAGTAAAAAATATCTATGTACGAATATTATGTGAATGTATGTAGACAATAAAAAAATAACAAATAAGCTTATTAAAATAGCATCTAACAACTTTTGTTAGCGAGGTCCACAATGGTTATTTGAAGAGATTTTTCATCGCCTTCTTTTGTGATTGATTGTAGTGGGAGAGTAATCGTTTGGCACGTGCTAATTCACTTAATATACACTTATCACCGGGCGTTATTTCATTGGCATGATTTAAATCAGCAATCGCACATTCGTACTCTTTCAAACCGATATTCGCCTGACCACGACGATAGTATGCTTTGGCACAGTCCGCATTTAGACGAATCGCCTAAAAAATAACAACAAATGAGTACATATGTATAACCTTGTCCTTATTTACACACAAATATAATATTCTCGGTACCTACCTCTGAGCTTGAATGTTTTGCCTCAAAATATTTTTGCAACTTCAGCTCTACCGCTGCCAAATTTGTGTGATTAATAGCCGAGAATACCTCTAACTTTTTTATATCATCCTCAACACGTGTTGTATGTTTATGGTCCTTCTTCTCGAAGCGTAACCGTAATAGATTGTAGTAACGATTACCCTTACGATACTTACGACGCGCTTCGGGGAATTTTTGCTGTGTAAAAAAGTGATTGCCCGCAGTGCGTATGCCCGTTAGCAATTTTACCATATCTTCAATCTGCAAACATGAAAATTTAACTTGCTTTTTAAAAAAAAATGTTCGCTCTACTAAACTAAAAAAAAAATATACGCACCGTATATGATTCAAACTTTTTATCCCAATCACGTGGGTAAGGCGGTAATTTATCTTCCGTCTCGTCGTTGTCCAGAAAACCCCAATCCTCACCTGGATGTATTTCCCCACAATCCGTAATTATTATATCCTGAAAGCGACTTTTACTAATTGCATTTTTTTAAGCAGTATTCTGAAACTAACCTCCTGCGGTTTACCATCATCCGACGTAACGAGCTCCATGTCTGACACAATGGATAAACCACGTAAAACTTTGCCGACAACCACATTTGTGCCGTCAAGGTTATTGCTCGACACGGAGACAACAAAAAACTGTGAATTGTTTGAGTTTGGTTCACCATAGTTGGCCATGCTAATGGCACCTTCATCGTGCTGCAAATCAGTTTATTGAAAATTAAGCTACATTGCTTTCATATAAAATCCATTCTACTTACATTTAATGTGAAATTTTCATCCTCGAAAATTGGTCCATATATGCTCTCACCGCCAGTACCATCATTATTGACTACGTCTCCACTCTGTGCAACATACAGTCGCGTTACCTTGTGAAAACGTACTCCCTTGTAATGCAATTGCTTGCCCATTCGCCCATTGCCCATTTCACCTGTGCAGAGCGCACGAAAATTCTCTGCTGACTTGGGCACAACATCTTTCCGCAGCTCAATTATCATACGTCCAGCTACACAACAATTGAAACAGTATATCAGTTATTTGCACTTATTATGGGTTTGCTATGAAATTTACCAAATTCATTTCCAATTGTTATATCCAAGTAGACCAAAGGATTGGTATCACAAACCGGGTCCAACAATGTATCCATTTTGTACAAAAAAAATCACTTGTCTCTTAAAAAGCCAAACAAGTAGAATATAAAGATTGAATGCTGCCGGTGGTAAACACTGCGAATATCGATATCGATTGTTGTATATTACGATATACGGGAAAGAATTTGGAATAGTCGTGATTTTTTTTATTAATTAAATCTTATTTAGCTGAAATCAAATTGGTTGATACAAAAACGATTTTCTTTTAGAAGAAAGTTATCAATCGTATTTTTTTCTTGTTTTTATAAGAAAAAAATTTAATTATATTAATAATTACTGAACCACTACGATCCCTACGATCGTCAGTAACAGTAGCGATGTGCCATCTGTTCGTTTTCGTTGCGCTTATCGATATGTGCGCTGATTATATTTCGATAATTATATATTTCCTGACACGAGCACACAATAAAAAATTTTCTTTAGGATTTTCATCTAATTATGTCTATTAAAAAAAAAAAAAATTGATTAAGACAATAAAAATTGAAATGAATTTCCGAACCAAGTTAGAAATCCTATTTAAAAATCATACTTCAAAATTCTGGAAGTACTCTATGGTACATAACCACAGCCGTTTAATGACAAACCATGTGTGAATTTAATTACAGAATTTAATTTACTTTAATAATTGCCGATTCGTTTTGAAAAATTTTGAATTCCCGGTGAGGAGGTTTTTTCTGCTTAAACTATCTATAAAAAATGGGCATAACAGATGAAGACAGACAAAAGGGCGGCTTCCCGAAGAAAAGTTGTTTGTTGCGAAAAAATGTACACTTCAGAGTTGCTTAAGAATTTGAAATTATTATCAAATCTGAAATCTTATTCCTTCGATCATTACCTTATTTCAATTTATCCAAAAGTGTTTTTTTATAAGAAAATATCACACCCAATTTAGCAAAGAAAAAACTCGAACACATTAAGACATTAAATTTTTGACGTTTAACTAAATAACTTGCTGTATTTCTTCGCTTCTGCACGATTGTATGCAATTTGTAATCTTTTTGACTGAATCAATTCCTTTTTAATGCGTTTACTCGCCGGCATCAGCTGACTAGCTATATCAAAGTCCTTTACCGCGCTATCGAAATCGTTTAAACCCACATGTGCCTGCCCACGGCGGTAGTAAGCTTTACTGCAGTCCTTTTTCAGAAATATAGCCTAGGACAAATGCGAGAAAGAAAGTGAGTTTCAAGTTTTTTATTCTCTTCTATAAACCCCAGAAATCAATTTACCAACCTCTGTGCATGCATCCCTCGCAATGTTGTGATTTTTCAGTTTCAGTTCAACAGCTGCTATATTTGTATAATTGAGTACCATAAACTCATCTAGCTTCTTGAAATCGTCCTCTTTCAATTTTAGCTGTGGATATTCCTCCCATTCACCACGTGAACGTAGAAAATTGCAATAACGATACGCCTTTCGATATTTCCGACGCGCCTCGTAAAGATTATCTCGCGCGAAAAAGTGATTACCAGCCAATCGTATGCCAGTTAGTAAGTTAACCATTTCGTCGGCCTAAAAACAAAAAAAAAAATAAAAAAAATAAAAAAATTATTATACCCTTCACAGATAGATTTCTTATAGCATAAAAGGGTATAAAAATATCTTTATCTTAATTTTGATCGGTTAGTTTGTATGGTAGCAATATGTTATAGTGGAACGATCTGAACAAGTTGTTCCGAGATTGCATTGCCTTGGACAATAATGCAAAATTTCGTCAAGATATATTGTCAAATAAAAAAGTTTTCGATACAAGGACTTGATCTTGATCAATCTAATAGTGGTCCGATATCGGCAGTTCCGAGAAATGAGCAGCTCATTAGGGAAAAATTACATGCGCAAAATTTCAGACCGATAACTCTTGTATGCAATAACAGACGGACGGTTTTCAGTAAAGTCGAAAGTCGAGGAAATCTTTTTTTTTTACTACTATAACCTCTCATGCAAAATTAAGTGTTATCTATAGAAATACATACGGTATAAATTATGTATTTTCCATTCCAATCTCTTGGCTGTGGCGGCAAATAATCATCGGTTTCGTCATTATCCTCAAAACCCCAATCCTCACCGGGCATTAACTGACCGGAATCCATAATATATATTTGCTAGAAGCAAAAATGAGCAGAACAATATAAATTTTTGATCTAACTAAAGAAGTTTCTAAATAAAAAATTACCTCTTTCGGCGTATCATCTATATCCGCTACACGCTCCATATCATTATAGATGATGCCTAAACCACGCAAAACGTGGCCGAAGGCCACATTTGAACCATCGAGGTTGTAACAAGGATTAGAGGTAATCACGAATTGTGAATTATTTGTGTTTGGTTTACCATAATTTGTCAGACTAAGGGTGCCTTCTTCATGCTACGACAGATATATAGATATACGTATATGTATATGTACATATGTATATAGATCACCTTATAAAAGTGATGCTTACCTTCAGCGTAAAATTTTCACTCTCAAAAGTCGTGCCATAGATGCTTTCGCCACAAGTGCCATTATTATTGACCACATCACCACCTTGACAACCGAACGTTCGAATTATTTTATGGATGTATGTACGTTTATAATGCAACGGCGTGCCGAGTACACCTAAGCCCCTTTCACCAGTGCAAAGTGCACGAAAATTTTCCGCTGCCTTGGGTACGATATCTTTGCGCAACTCGAAAATCATGCGGCCAGCTATTAATTAAGTATTAAGACAACTTGCAGTGATATGTGAACCTGGTGTATCTACCGAATTCATTGCCAATCAAAATGTCGAAGAACACTATAGGATTGGTCGGGAGATGCGGATCCGGCATTTCAGTCATATCCGGAAATCGGGAAATACTCCGACGGTGACGATCATATTGGTGCCGACCGATAATATCTCTGTAGTCAACTTTTATATTTGGATCAACCAGATTCCTCTGCAAAAGGGAAGAAAGCTCATTGTTGGGTTGAACGACTCGTACAGTAAGTGGACGGGGACCTACATTTGCGTCGATTTCCTCTTGTGTTAGTTGGTTTGCATTTGAATCGGAATCATCCGAATCTGAGAAAGACATGGTTTTTCTTTTAAGTTTTAATAATTTCAGAAGAAGCAAATATTCGTGTGGTTATTGTTGTTTATGTTAACACGCCGCGTATTTACTAAAAATTATACATTAATTGAACTAAGTGGTTATGTAAGCATAAATACAATTAACTGTAAGGATTTGTTATTTTTTTATTGTTATAACGGCATTCTTAAATATTCACGGCTGCCAGATTAAATAAAAAAATGCTAAAGATGTTGTTAGTTTACGAATTAAAAATACAAAAAAATAATAAATTATAATAATGATAAAAAATTAGATATAAAAAATAATAATAATAAAATAAATATATAAAATCATAGTAAATATGATACAAAAAAGTTTAATTAATTTTACCACCAATAACAATAAACGTTAATAAAATTTAAGAGGCAAGGTCTTTAATAATAGTTAAACAGTTTTAAGACTATTTAGATCACTTGTTAGTAAATAAGAAATTTGTATATAGTTAGCTCGAGACCACTGATCTCATGACAATCGGTTCCATGTAATCGGAATGGTCACGAATTTTTATCCCTACAACGTCTGTCACCACTTGTAAGCGTTCTACAAAAATATTTGGGGAATGTTTTATGTTTTGTGGTCTAGCTTTTAAAAGACATATGAGTAGACGGGTATTAAGGGGCACACCTCGTGTGACAGCTTAAAGAAAAAGCGATTGTTGGGAATTAAAAAAATAAAAACTACTGTATCAATTGTTTTAAAAATTGAAAGGTATAAATATTTTTGAGTTACACGTGATCTCCGACGTCGCTAAAAAAAGTCATCCACTATTCCGGCCTTCTTTCACTCTAAAAGATAATGTCCGTACAATATGCTATGGTAAAAAAAAGTGAGAAAATGACCAGTGCCGGCAAAGCCGTCTTTCCTCTGCCTAGCTCATCCACGTTGCAGTTGGCAGCGATTGCGCTGTGACCAGGCACCCAAATGAGTGCGCGAACTTTAATAATAATAATAATAAACGCAACGATTAATTTGTCCCTAAATTCGTTAGATATCGCTCCAAAATTTTGCACAGGTCCTGATTCTCTCTAAATCTGCTATAGCACACAATATATCTGCCATACAAACAGAACGATCAAAATTAAGTTCTTGTTCGAAAATCTTTTTTTATTTGACAAGATATCTTCACGAAACTTGGCATGGATTATTGCCAATAGCAGCGCTTTCATATCCGAAGAAATTTTCTAGATCATATCATTATAGATTACCATACAAACAGAACGATTAAAATCAAGTTCTTGTATGGAAACTGTATTTATTGTTCGGCGATCCTCTCGAGGCTCTTGTTTCGGGATAAAGGATACAAATCATGTTTGGTATTAGGACGTGTCAATTAAGAGTGCGCCTAAACATTGCAGTGCTTGAAGTTTTGTCGCAGTTCTGAACTGCTAACGAGATTTAAAAGTTTTTTTAATCAAAAATGTGCGCATTTGATATTCTAGCTTTGTTCGCAATGAATATTTAGCCTTAATTATTTCTATAAACTAAACTTACCTCATAAACCTACTTAAGCATCCATATGTAGTAATAAAACAAACTTGAAATTTTTTATTTAATAATTATTATTTATTTATGTAAAAAACATTACATTTTCGTGTTGCTTGTTTTAATTGACAATTGTTAATACAGAGTTTTAGGGTTTTAGTAAATAGTATTGCAATTATTTGGTTGTTATAAGGAATGAAAACATGCAAAAATATTTGTTGGCTTATTTTTTTTTTTTTTAGTATTTTTCTTGTTTGAGCTTGGTTCACTACGAGGATAACAACTTACAGAGAGAAAGAGAGTGCACATACATAAAAAAATTAGATTTTAAAAATATATTTTAAAGCTTAAAACTTAATTACTTTTTCACTAAAATATTTTCATACTAGAAACTATAAGGTATTTTTGGATTTTCGTCAACGTATTACGCACAGCTCTCTGCCTGCGAAGGCGCCCACAATGGGAGAGTGTCAAATCCATACGATTATGAGTGTTTGTTTGTTTGTTTTGTTTTTGGGCTTGATTCTATGGTCAGTTGGTAGTTTTGATTAATTACTTGGGCAGTGTTTATCGATGCTCGCATCGTTTATGGCTCGAGACGACTACGTGAATAGCAATCGTTGGGCAGGGCTTGAGCTATTGCACGTATATTCGCCACTTGCTCCTCCAAATCGTACAAATCTTTTTCGTATTTGTCGATCCACTTCTTCTGTGCATTGCGCAAATCGCGGAACTTCTCAATGCGTCCAGTCAAATTGACACGATTCAACTCCAGCTCCACCGAATCTAGGCGATTTTCTACGTGTTGAGGAGAAAGCATGTTCAAGTGTTAATATCAAAATAGCAACGAAAGTACTTTGAACTAACCGAGTTTATCCAAATCTTCGACATTAATGTCCTTGAGATTCTCCAATTCCTCTTTAATGTCATCCAGTTCTTGTATGGACTTGTCAATTTGGGTTCGTGCCTCTTCTGCGCCGGCCTTGGCTTGACCAACCTGGAATATATAATTTTTGTTTACTTTCCGCTTTATATTTCCACAGTTTTATGCTTACATTTCGCTTGGCATCATCCACCAGATTGTCGTCTTTGTTGGCCGTTTTATCCAATTTGACTATACTGCTCTCGGTGATCTGTACGCGGTGATTGAGTTGTTCGGCTTCATCGCGCAGCTTGCGTGCGTTTACTTTGGTATCGTTAGCTTTCTTGCGTATTATTTCGGCGTCCTAAAGTAGGGAATATACAAGTATGTATACAATTTTGATTATGGTGTATTACAAGAAATATGTACAGCAACTTTCATTGACATATGGATATTTCAGAAAATGTGTGTACAGTAGTGTCCGTCTTCGAGGGAGTTTAACATATGTTTCAACTGTCAAAATTTAAGATCCGAGGTTCATGTACATTGCTTGCAGTAATTTCAGAATGACTAATTCAATCAAAGGTAACCTTAGTATGCTGAGATTATTCTGAAAACTTCAAGATTAATTTTTTCAGATAGTTCCCATTCCGGTGAGGTGAGGTGGAAACATCCTTCTCCTATTGTCCAGCCTTTGCAAGACTGAGGCTGAAACATCTCGGCAGTAATATCTTTCGCGAACCAGCAGACATAGCCGAAACTGACATTGGCCTTCTCAACAAATTTGTGATCGACTCAAAGCGGTCTCTATGATACATTTTTATAGGATTTCTAGACCATTTAAACTAACCTAACCTAACACCATTCCAGCAAAACTATAAAGTGCTCTGAGGGAGCAGTGCATTAGAATTTTATCGGCAGCATCCTGACAATGCGTCAAAGATTTATATACTTAACCATCGCAACCTAACCAATGTTAGATGATCTCCTTTTTTGAGCTGTGTGATTTGATTATATTGGAAGCTCTCCAAATTTTAAGCCGCTCTCTAATGAATCAGAGTTGTATAAGAAGATTTTTAATGTTGATCGTTTTAACTAATCACCGTTATGTACAAAAAGTTTTAAATTGTCTTCATATTCCTATTTATATGCCAATTATTGTAAACATACCTTCGATGCTTGTTCAGCATATTTCTCTTGTGCATGTTGTGCATTAGTCTTGGCTTCCAGTGCATTTTTATTAGCACCCATGAGAGCCTGGAGAAATAGTTGTAAAAAAAAAATATTGTTACCAAAAACGAAAAACTAACGAAGGCTAACAATTGTGTTACCTCGCCCGCCTGTCGGATTAACTGTTCGGCATTTTCGATTTCCTGCTCGATGCTTGGAACTGTCTTCAGCGCTAGATTAGCTTTTTCGGAGGATTTTTGCACATCAGCTTGGAAACCTATCGAAACAAAATGTTGTTATTTTCTTCAAAATATTTTCACCTAAGGAGTAATCAAAACGCTTTTACCTGCTAGTGTATGGTATGTGTTATTAGCTTCCTTTAGTGTGTTGTCGCCTTGCTCCACAGCTTTTGTGGCCTTGTCGAAGGCATCCTGAGCGCTCTTTAACAATTTTATATCGTCTTCCTTTTGCTCGTTCGCTCTAGATGTATTTAATTTGGGGAAAAAGAGTATAAAATAATATTTTTCTAGAATCAACAAGTTAGTAATTTGTACTAACCTCAGTATTATCAGGTCGGCAAGTTGATATTCGTCATCGAAATCGGCAAATATTTTACCGTTGCTATTGGATATGTCATTAACGCGTTCCAGTAGACGATCGGCCTAAGGAGTGGCATGTATATTTAAGTAATTAATATATAATATTTGAAAAAATAGTTCGTCTACCTCTTCATTGGCCTCTAACGCTTCTTTTTTCAACTTCTTGATGTCGATTTCGGGTGCCGTTAGTCCATTGACATCCGTTAACAATGTCAAGGCGGCATCGTAAACTTCGTTTGCTTTACGAAGCGCTTCTTTAGTGGTCTGCGCAACATTGTTGAGCGATTGTTTTACGGTGTTCAACTCCAAACGCACCTCCGAACGTAGTTCATCGCTATAAAACGGAGTATAATTATTTTTATAAGAAAGAGAGTTAAGGTCTGAGCCTAAACAAAATATTTACTCACCTAACTTTCTGTTGCAAGTTGATGGCGCTTTTAGCCAACTCGTAGGCTTTTTCCACCGCTTCATTAGCATCCTTGGCGTTCTTCAAGTCGACCTGAGCTTCCGCCTCCAAACGATCGGCTAATGCGCGTGCTTCACGTGATATCTCTGAGATTTGGTCTGATTGCACGCCGAATTCTAGAGACTTGTTCTTAGCCTTAGACAGCGCTTGTGCGCCATCGTCGTTTAGCAAATTCAAAGCTGTTTGTAGTTCGCTCTTTGCCGCCTCGATTATATCATGTGCGTTCGTGTAGTTTTGTCTGGCCTTTTCGATTTCATCATTCGCCTTGTCTTGCAGTTCATCGCCAGATACCAGATGTGTGCGTATATTGTTGAGACGTTTGTGTAGATCATCTAGTACTTCGGCGTAAGTTTGACCGCTTTCACCAGCACCATATTTCGCATCCGTTAAGAGAATATCAACCTTTTCTTGCACTGTCTTCAATTTGGCTTCAAATTCTTCATCGTTTGTGACGGGGGTGCGCGCAATCTCATCTAGCGTTGCACTGAGGTTGCTCAATTTAGCGCGATGTTCATTGGCTGCGTCTTGCACGAGATTATAGCAGTCCGGACAATCAATACAACCCAAATGACGATCGTATTTGTTCTCCTTACAACGATCACAGCGGCGTCCTTCAACGTTG